AGGGAAGTTATTATTAGAATCTATTGAAATATCTATTTGTATAACGACAAAAACTACAGTGAAAAATATGTAGTATGAGAATGGAGCCACCTGCTGGCTCATAAAATAATACTTTGTATCCTAAAAAAATATATTTCATGCAATTGAGAAAAATCAAAGATAACAATAGTTGAAACAAATTTTCATTCAAACATTGGCACTTTACGACAGTTTTAAACCATTTTGCAGTTTATGCTTTGGGAAGGTTTCTATATATTTTGAGGTAAAATATATGCGTTTCTACTAGGACACTAATATTACAAACTATTTATTGGGAAGTCGTATGCTTTTCTTACTTGGCCAAATGTCATGTATTAATATCTTCTAGGTCCTTTGATAGTGAATGTGGGGGTTTTCTTTCTTCTATTTTTTAAAGGAAAACATCAAATCAGTGAAGTTTTTGACAACACTCTAGTGCTTCTGATCTAGGAAATTGAGTTTGATTCTATATAATAAATCGTTATAAATATTAATATATAGTAGATGAGCATTGCTTGATACTTTATAGCATTGCACATCATTCCTTGTCTGTAGGATCTTGGTAGTTTCTCATCTTTAGCTTTCTGTTTCCCCTCTCTGAGACGTAATATGTTACCGGAAGACCCAGGAAAACATCCTTAGTTGGCCAAAGGCCTGTTACTGCCCCCTGGTTAATGTTTTGTTTTGCAGGTCTCCTGCTGAGAGTGTGGAAAGCTGCCTTGAGAGAACTATTAGTGAATTCATTCTCAATCTGGGATGGGATTAGCATCATTTAAATTTGTGAGAATTCTAAGAAGCTGTGGATGGCTGTTAAACACCTCAACTAGAGTTTATGGAAGCTCTTGGTTTAGATAGTGTGAATTTTTCAGTACTTGTAATCGCTCTCCATGTCCTGACCTCAGCTTTTCTGTGTATTTTAAGTGAGGTAAAGTAAGATGTCCCAGCCTTGCTCATGTTTCAAGTCGATTTTCTTTTGTGGTATCATTCTTGTGGGACTAACTTTGGGGATGTTATATGGCATTTTTCTATCAGATATCTGAGAATTTGTTCCACTTTATGGGAATAAAGAAATAGACTTTCTCGTCACAGCTTTGCTGCTAATTACTACCTAGCTGTCCAGTAGTCAGTAAGTCAGCTTTTATCTCTTATTTTTATTTTCTTAATCTGCAAAATGTAGCGGTACTAGATAATTATTTTTTATGTTTTTAACTCATTTTCCCTGTGGTTTTATGTTGATTCTGTGATGATAACTGTGAAGATAAATAATGATCTATTAATCATCTATTGTGCTATTTGTATTTGCTTTTTAAATTTTATTTTATTTCCATTTGTGTGAGTGATATTTCTCTTGTCAGCATTTAAAAGAGGAAGATAATTTTCCATTGTCACATATGCTATATTTAGCAATAAGATGCTGCACTGTTTTACCCCTTTGCCAGTATATATTTTTACAAATGTATTTGTAAAAACCCATTTTTTTATCAAGAATATTATTTAAAGTTTATTGAACACCTACTATGTAGCAGAATAGTGCCAGGCACTAGAAATAATGAACGAAATGTAATTCCTGCCCTC